AAAAGATTGCTGGCTCCTTTCTGTCATGTAAAACAAAAACATAATTTTGATTTCCATCACAAATGTTGGTATAATTAAATTATTTTATTTTTGTTTTTAGTTTTGTGTTAATTATTTAGTTTTGTGGGACCTTCTTGCTATTAAAAGGTACTAGAAAAATCCAGTTGAGACTGTAGGGACCTAATCCCATCCTCAATTTTGCCAAAAGGAAACAAATGTCCAGCATAAGGGTATCCCTAGCATAATGCCACCTCTTCTGCCTCCTTTGTCTAGGATTCATGTCCAGAGTGGCAAAAGAGCCAGGTCAGAGTATGTGAGCTGTAACTTTTCTCAGCCAACCTAATTAGAATAGCTTTGCAATTCTGTTTCACAGGAAATCAAACTGTCATGTAGTAAAACTGGGAATTGGAGGAATGCAAATATGATTTCACCAACTTTGTTTTACCCCACTGTTTCTTTAAAAATGCCAGGCACAAACCTGGTGTAGCTAAAGATACGTCCCAAAGTTCCTGTATGTACATACAACAGTATAGGGCAAATAGCAGCAGTGCTGTCCCACAGAAGTGCACCCCACAATAACCTTAAAGGAACATCTGTAAAGCTGAAGGAATAATTTTAGCTCTTTTTAGTCCTTTGATTATTTATTAAGAAACTAAATAGGTTTAGTGTTAAAACTGATGTAAGGTGGATACATACCTGCTTGCATCATCATGTTTCAATAGCTGGCTTGATGTCTAACTACGCTTGATAATAATGGCTTGAAATAATGGTTTGATGTCTAACCTAGGAAGCATTATCAAGTGAGTTTCCCTAGGGGTCTGTGCTGGGCCTGGTGCTGTTTAACACCTTCTTTAATGATTTGGAGGATGAGATTAAGTGTACATTTCAGAAATGTCCAGATGACACCAAGCTGGGTGAAGTTACAGACCAGGGTTGTCAACCCAAGGAAAAAAAAATACTGATAATCTGCAAACTTTTTACTGACAACCAAGCTTTTTACTGATACAAGTTTTTACTGATATATGTTTTACATAATGTAAATGTTACTCTTCTGCCAGGCCCTACCCTGCTGCTGGACCTCAGTTAGAAGGTTTGGGTTTAAATTTAGGGGCTTAATATCAAGCATAGCAAAAATGTAGAAGTTTGGTTGTCAGTCAGAAGTTTGCAGTAAAATATATTCTTTGGTTGGCAACCCTGTTTGACTGCAGTGATGGTTGTACACTGTGCTGTCCCCATCTGCCAGGGGCTCCTATTTACCCCTACGTTCTGATGTTCCCAACTGCACCCTGGAGCATGCTGCCCTTCTCCCCCTACTGACCCCACTTCCCCTATCCTGGTATAGATCCCCAAAGATGCCTCCTTGTGACTTAGCAGTATTACAGGCAGCCTGGGCAGCAGTAGCACATGACTGAGAGAATACTCCTTGCAGGGTGCTGCACTGTTATTTGGACACCAGATGGCAATGCTGTACTGTGTCTGTGTGAGCTTCAAACAAAGTGCAGCTACTTAGTGTTTTAGTGGTGGCTAACGGTTTTTTGTTTTTTTTTTGCAGACTTTACTGACAGCCATTTTTAGCCTGATTTTTTTTTTTACTGACAGTCAGTAAATTTACTGTTAGTTGGCAACCCAGTTATAGAGACTCTGGAGGACAGGATTAGGATTCAGAATGACCTTGATAAACTGGAGAAATGTCCAAAATTAATCAAATGAAGTTCAATAAAACAAGTATGATGTCCTGCACTTGGAGTGGAACAATCACATACACAAATACAGATTGGGGAATGACTGGTTAGGCTGTTGTACTACAAAAGCCTTATAAGCCTATAAAATGAATATGATCCAGCAGAATGCTCTTGTTGCAAAGAAAAACCTAATAGGATACTGGGCTGTTTTAATAGGAATATTGTTTGTAAGTCAAGGAAAATGATTTTTCTGCTTTGTTCAGCACTGGTGAGGCCTAAGGTAGAGTTCCATGTCCAGTTTTTGGTACCACACTTCAAGAAAGATATCAATGATTTAGAAAGGGTCCAGCAAAGAGCAACAAAAATAATTGGAGATCTAAGGAATGTGATTTACAAGAAAAGACTGGAAGAACTAGGATTATTTAGACTGGAGAAGAGAACAGAGAGTGGGAGTTTGGTAACAGTCTTCAAATACCTGAAGTGTGATTATAAAGGGGTTGGTGATCACCTAGTCTCTGTGGCTGCAGGAGACAGAACAAGGAATAATGGTTTTAAATTGCAGCAAGAGTGGTTAAGCAGATTACCTAGAGAGCTTTTGGAACCTTCATCCTTGGAAGTTTTCAAGAGCAAGTTAGAAAAACACTTTTCTAAGATGGTGGTGAGAGGGGAATGATTCTGCGCTGAGCAGAGGATTGGATGCTCTTCCTGAGGTCATTTCCAACCCTATGCTTCTATGATTATTTGCTTTTTTTCTTATTTTTCTTTTATGTAGAGTTTTGTACAGATGACATTAATTTTATGTAAGACATGAGATGGAAGCAGTTTCCATCAGGAATGAATTTGACACTTACACTGCACATTTAGGACTAGGTTCTAGCATCTTCATCATGCAAAACTGGCCAGAATCCCATTTTGGAGTTTAGTTACTGCTTTGTAGCACTCTGTACAGTGGTGCATCAAGAACAGAAATAAACAATTTTCATTTGTAGTTTTAATCTTCAACCATCTGTGTTCCTGCATTTGTATTAGTGTAATATATATTGGTGTCTTAATGATCATTCAGAAATTACCAAGTCTTGATCTGCACAAATGAAAATAAAAGGTCGGTAGTCCACTATTGATCTTTGTAATAGGTCCCTTACCCCATTACTAAGAGATGGAAGACCAGAGTGGGGTCTAGTACCTCAACGAGGGTCCCATGGGGGATATAATCCAGATTTTATACTGCAGAAGGACTGTTGCCAGGTCCAGTGCTTGGGGAGAAGTGACAGTCAACCTCTAGAATGTGTGCTCATGGACCCAAGAGGTAAGGGAGTCCAGAAACTCTGACAGGAAGGAGCCACTGTCAGGGACTGCATAAAAGATAAGTGGCAGAAGCTGCATATTTTGGTTTATTTGTGGACTGGCTTAAGTACTGCAAGGCTGAAGGAGAGGGATGGAGGCTATTCAAGGTGTCCCACAGAGGGACTTGGAGCATGTTTTTGAGTTGATGGGCTGCCAGAGGCCCAGTGAAATAGGAGTGGGCTGTCAGAGCCCCCGTCAATAGTGACTGAGCTACTACAGTCCTGAGAGCTGGTATAGAGAGCATGGGACCCCCAAGAGCCAGTATAGAGGGTGTGAGAGCCAGGGAGATGGTGCAGAAGACATGAAAGCTCTGAGAGACTGAACAGGGACCAAGAAAGAGCCCATGGACTGAGCAAAGGAGAGACAGAGCCCAATTAATAGGGTAGAGGAGATTAGCCACACTTCAGTTAGTCTCCCAAATGTTCCTAGTAACATTAAAGTTGTTGCAAGTGAATGTGAGGGAGGCAACTGATGGGTGGTGAGAGGTGCTTAAACAGGCCTAGCGGTCACCAAGTGGCTTTAGGAAAACTGAAGCCTTTGTTACAATTTTTTAAGCTATCCATTTCTCAATTCCTCTACTTTAATAAAAATAAAAGAAGTAAATCACATCTCAGTCATAAATATAATATTAAATAGATTCATAGATTATAGAGTTGGAAGGGACCCAATGGATTATCGTGCCTGACCCCTGCCCTTGCCAGGAAAGAGGGCCGAGGTCAGATGACCCTGGCCAGGTGACTGTCAAGCCTCCTCCTGACGACCTCCAAGTTAGGTGACAGCACCACCACTCTTGGAAGCCCATTCCAGACTCTGGCCACCCTTATTGTAAAAAATTTCTTCCTAATGTCTAACCTAAATCTACTCTCCACTAGTTTGCACCCATTATTCCTAGTCACTCCCTGGGGCGCCTTAGTAAACAGTGCTTCCCCTATTCCCCATTGACCTCCCCTAATAAATTTATAGGTGGCTACAAGGTCACCCCTCAGCCATCTTTTGTATAGGCTGAAGAGATCCAGATCTCTCAACTTCTCCTCATAGGGTCTTTCACGGAGACCACTAATCATACAAGTGGCCCTCCTCTGAACCCTCTCCAGATCCTCTGTGTCCCTATTGAAGTATGGAGTCCAAAACTGGACACAGTACTCCAACTGTGGCCTGACTAATGCTGCATAGAGGGGGAGCATCACCTCCCTCGATCTGTTGGTCACGCATCTGCTAATACATGACAAGGTGTGATTGGCTTTGTTGATGGCCTCGTTACACTGCTGGCTCACGTTCATCTTGGAGTCAACTATGACTCCAAAATCTCTCTCAGCTGCTGAGCTGCTGAGGAGGACATCCCCCAACCTGTAGGTGTGCTGGGGGTTCCTCCTTCCTAGGTGGAGTACCTTACATTTATCTTTGTTGAATTGCATCCTATTATGTTCCGCCCATTGATCTAGCTTGTCTAGGTCGGCCTGTAACTGCTCCCTGCCCCCTGGTGTATTAACTTTGCCCCATAATTTGGTATCATCCAACCTGTCCAGGTCAGCCTGAATCTGCTCCCTGCCCTCCAGTGTACTAACTTTGCCCCATAACTTGGTATCATCAGTGAACTTGGAGAGGGTGCTCTCCACGCCCTCATCCAAATCGCTGATGAAGATATTGAATAATATCGGTCTGAGGACCGAACCCTGCGGGACCCCACTGGCCACCTCCCTTCAGGCCGAGAAGGATATGGTATC